TCCGCCCAGTCCGTGTTCACCACGGCGTCTCACATCACTCCAGAGATAGTTTGTGGGCACTGCCATGATGAGCTTCTTCAACTTAAAGCCGTCCTTCTTCAAAACTGCTGAAACTCCATTGATCGTCATCACCTCGCTCCTCGGTCTAAATACCCACAGCCCTGGCGGAAGGTCATCACGATGCAGGTAAGATATCCACTGCTCCATCTGGCCCCCAAAGAACCCAAACTGCCTCTCTAGTTCCTCCGCGTGCTGCATGGACTTGCCTGCCATCTCGACGACGTTCTCCTCCTTCTCGTAGTACTCTGCCTCGTCGGCAGGCAACGCCTCGAGTAGCGGGACAACCTTCAGCGTCGTCACCTCGTCCACTCTGTTGGCAATGAACTCCGTGTGGACGTCTCTCTCGTGCACTCTCCTGTAGCCTATCTGGTCCAACTTCAGTAGCTCACACGTCGCTTGTACGCCTGTCACTGGGAACAGCCGGCGAACATTGAGCTGGTCCTTAGCGTGCTGGATCGCCCGCGCCTGGACCCGCCCGACAGCAGAGTTCGTCGTCATCTCATTGCTAAACTTCTGCTGCCACGGTGTGGTCTGCTGCTTCATATTGCCCAGGTAGGTCGAGTTGAGAGCACTGAGCACTCGATTGGCAACCTTCCTCACCATCTGCTTCCGATGTAGTCTCTGCCTACTCCGACCCGAACGCACCGACACACGACCTGGCTGTGCAAGAAGTGGAACTGGTAGGACCGCGTCGCTGGCACCGAAAGCAGAGGCCATTTCAGATATCGAAGGGGAACTCTGAGTGTAACTGAACTTCGCATCTTCACTAGGCTTATCTGGTTTGGCAATCCATCTCTCCCCCCCCCGAGGCCGGCACCATCTGGTCTTCTCGCTCGGCGGCGGATGAGGCTGAGCAGTGCGTGACTGGGGGGCTCCCCCCAGCCCGGTACCCTCTGGCCTCCCAGACCCGCCTTGAGCGAAGACTGAGCAGTGCGTCCCTGGGGGGGCTCCATCAACATCCTCGAACTGACCCTGTCGCTGCCCTGCTCGGGCATCTCGCAGCCCTTCACCCCGCGACTCATGATGAAGGGCCCCCGACAGGCGTCAGCCTCCCGAGCTCTTGTCACCACGACCACGGCCCTTGTCTTTGTCCTTCCCCTTGCCGCCGTTCCGTCGTCGTAGCTCTGCTGCAACTCGTTCAGCCCGTTGGTGCTCCATCTTGCTGTGCGTCGTCGCCTCCTTGATGAGCCAGCCAGGCGCGATGTCTATCCCGCTCCCTGGGGCGGTGGCTGCCCTCAGCCTGGCTGCGCCCGCCTTGTCGTGCGTGCGTGACTCGTGCACATAGGCCGACAGATGGCGCAACCCTATCTCCACATTGTCATTCGTGTTGAGACAAATCATCAACTCCTGGTCATTCCCGCACTTGCCTAGCTCGAAGTCCAACGTCGCCGCTGTGCTCCACAGCGACTGCCACTGCTCTCCTCCTCGATATCCTGAGAACTGGGACTGAAGCCAATGTCTGATGCTCGTACTCCCAGCCGCGCGAATGTTCCGATAGATCTCCATCCCCGCCCTCTTGAAGTCCGGCGGCAGCGAATGGGCCCAGGCGTCCAACTCGGCTCCTCCCGCGGCCGCCGCTGGCGCCCCGAACGTGCCATCGAACGTGTTGGTCGTCTCCATACTCTCGAACCCTGACAGCACCGTCTTCAACGACTCCACGTCGGGGGCCGAGCGAGTCTCAGCTCCCACATAGCCCCGAGCGGCAAGGGCGGCTCGCACTCCAGGGTTCAGGTCCCCAGTCTGCTCCAGCTGGTGGACGAAGTTCCAGAAGCGTCGTCCCCACCACGGGTCTGAGCTCGCCCCGGCGTGCAGCATCATGAGAGCCTCCTTCACCTTCTTGGCACATGCCGCTGCAGAAGTGGCAGCCTGCAGCCCTGGTCCGCCTGGACCACCTCCAGACACCGCCGGCATGGCCGCTGCCGTGGTCGGGCCCGCGCCCGTCGCGGGCTGCGCTGGCAGGCCCGACGGTGCGGCAGTCCACGACAGCGGCCCAGTGCAGCCCCCCCCCGAGGCGAAGGCGTGGAACGCGCCCATGGCGGGGTCCACGCTATGGGGGGGGGGCTGACGGCACCCCAGGCTGCACCATGCCTGGTGGGGGTGCGCTCGGCGGCGGCCATGCTGGCAGCTCGGGCGCACCCCCGCCACCCACAGCCTCAGTGCCGCTCGCCGGGCTCGCCAGCTGGGCGCGAAGGGCCTCCACCTCGGCCTGCTGTCCTGTGGCGGCGCGCCACCAGCCGCGCACCGTCTGGGCGCCGACCCAGACGGCGGCCACGACGATCAGCGCGGCGCCCAGGCCGAGGCGCACCAGGCTCCCGCGGCCCGTCTCGGCGCGCCACGCCAGCATCGCGACGAGCAGGCCCAGGACGCCTAGCGCCCGCGGCGCAAGCCACCAGCCGAGGGTCACGAGGGAGCTCGGCTCGGGCGGCGTCGCGCTCGCGGCGCTGCCTGGCTCCGATGGCGGTGGAGGGGCCATCAGTGCGCGGCGGGCATCTGTGACCTTCCTGGATGGCCACCGCAAACCTGGCCCCTCAGGCCGTCATTGTTGCGGTTGACCCGAAAAGCTATGGAAGCACGCTTGCTGTTGGGGAGCAAAGCTGGACCAACGCTATGCATTAATACCCGCTCGAAGACTCCCACTTCATCATACACATACACATACATATACACATACATATACATATACATATACATATACATATACATATACATATACATACATATATATACATATATATATATACATATACACACAAATCGCGCCCTCGCGTGGGACTTCCTCACAATTAATACAAATGCCGCGCCCTTGGCACTCATGAATCACACTCTCGCAATGGATTTCCTCACGATTTATTTGTGAATCGCGCGATCGTGCGAGACTTCCCGGCGATTCATGCAAAACGCACGCGTCAACAATGCGCCTGCTCGACCTGGCCGCCTGAACCCGCCTTCCCGACCCGCTCGTTAAAATTGACCCGCCCAGTCAGGCCGGCTGGTTTCGCCATGTGTTTTCTGCTCCAACCCCCTCCTGCGAATTTATATCGGGTTCCATCCTTTTGCCTCCCCTGTGTCCCTTCGTTCCATTCGTCCTCTCTCCCCCTGCCCTGAGGCCCGCGCGACATATGCGCTGGGGGGGTAAGGAATATCTGCCCCGAGAAGGGTACGATCGAAGACGAGGAGGGCGGGTGTCGATGGGTTGGGGATATACGTGTTGAGTGGCGCGCGAGCAGATAAGAACGAGCATTGCTAAGCTGATTGTTGTTGTAGTTGAACTCTCCAAGGAGTAGCCTCCGCAAAAAGAGCTGAGGAGGGTGGGGAGGTTGCCCAGGGCATGGCGACAATGAAGAAAAATAAACATGGACGAAGGATAACGAACAACATTATTAGAACTGCGATGCCAGAAAAAAAAAACAGCAACGAATTATCGCTAAAACGTCCGCTTGACATTCCTGCCGTTTCCGCCTGCATACCAATCTTCAACGACCAAAGTGCATGGCGCGAAGAGCCGCTGCAGTCTTGTAAGTATGTATGTATGTATGTATGTATGTATATATATATATGTATATATACATATATAGATGGGCGGCCCCCCCCCCCCCCCCCCACCCCAGCACCCCCAAACCACCCCAAAACAAACAAAACGCCAACTGATCGTGTTATCCTCATCCTTCTCCGTTTCCTCCTCGTTATCCCGTCCTCCTCCTTCTCAGAAGCTGAAAACGACTCTCTTGGGCTCGTTTGAGGAGGGGTCGCGTCTCTGAGCGTAGGGGCCTGAAAGTGCTGTGCTTGTCAGGTGTTTTTGTTGTTTAAGGCTTTGTTTTCTGATTTCTGGCAGAGGCTACGCAAGTTGGCTAGTCACTCCCAGGAATCAGAAAAACCAGAAAAAAAGAAAAACACATCGCGTTCAGTCCCTCTACGCTAAAGGAGGAGGAATGTGAGAGGATACAGGAGTGATCCGAATGAGCGGAGGCCGAACCGTGTGAGGGTGTGCCGAGATTGACTCGGGGCCTTCGGTAGAGGCTCATCTGCGTGGCCACGGAACGTTTGAGGGGTGCACCGAAGAAATTCCCCACGCTTCCCCTTCCATTCCAAACAACAGCATGGGTGAATGCAAATGTTACCTCTTTGTGCAAAATCGCAACGTCACGACGGGTCAAAAACCGCATGCGCATCCGCGCACATCTCGCTCGGGCACTCCGGGCACGTTTGCCCAGAGTCTCGCAACGCGGACAGCATTCCAGAGATAAGCTTCACGGGTCATCTGTGGCAAGCAAAAGGGCTGCGCATCGGCGCGCGCATCAGCTAAAGCAGATACTACTGCGCTCGGTTCAGTCAGACGCCGAACCCTCGCCCACTTGCGGGAAGGACCACTCGTCGCCTGAAGCGGCGGCCGCGCCCTCGGCCATCGCCGCGGCGATATCCTGCGAGGAAGACGTCGGCGGCTGGCGGGCGCGCTGGGGACAACACGTCGATGCTCGAGCCGTGGGCCCCCCTCCCGAGCTCGATGATACTCTCCTCCATCGCCTGCATAGCCCTCTCTCGCTCCTCCTCGTCCATGGTGGACACGTCGGGGCAAGCAATGCGCGCGCGTCGCGCTTAAGCGGCTGCGGCGAGGAGACGTCGATCACGCGGCCGCGAAAGGCCACCGCGCGATCGCAGACGCTTTGCTGAGCGGCGCGGCAGACATTCAGCTGCTCATCGATATCGCGCGTATCTTCGAGAACGGGGCACTAGGCGCTGGTCGGCTGACCAGCGGCCGCTCGCGGGGACCATTCGCCCCCCTGCCTGCCGCTCGGCGGCTGCGTGGCCACCTCTGGGAAGTTGCACCTCGCGGGCGTTTCCTGGTCGAAGAGCGTGGGGCCACGGACCGTCGATGACTGCCCGAGCTCCTCGCCCCGCGCTAACTTCTTTATGGCGGCCGCGGCCCACCTCATGCGCTGGTCTTAGCCGGGTGGAACGCGAGTCTGGTCTTTCTTGAATGCCTTGAGGATGTCGTACGTCTCGGGCGTGAAGAGATCTGGCTTCGCGGGCGCTGGCCACGGAAGGCGAGGGACTGGCTGTTTCGTCGTGGATGCCGCCCGAAAGTGCACCCAGTTCGGCGAGAGGAGCACGACGTTGGACCTCGCCATGTACGCCTCCACGTCCGCCATCTTGTAGCTGCACTGCTTTTCGCCGATGCAATTGCAGCCGATGATCTTGATGAAGTCACTGAATGCTACCTCTTCCTTCTCCCTGCTGGCGGACTCGACCGTCGCCTCGAACTCCTCGTCGCACGGACTGACGCAGATCTGGCGGGACTGGTTCTGCTCGAAAGAGGCGCCGCCCCACCTGTGCAGCGCGCGGAAAACTACAGAAAAAAACAAAAAGGCCCGGGTAAATATATTGACGTATTCTGGATGCGGTTAAACAATTTTGCCTCCCAGAAATGCATTTTCCCGCGCGCCGCCGCCTCGCCCAAAGCAGCGCGTCTTCCTCGGCGGGGTCGAGGAAAGCCTTGATCTTGTCGGGGCCCCACTTGGCCAGCACGGTGTCGTCTGCGATGGCGGGCTTGAACATGGTCTCAGGCTCCAAGCGCAGGAAGTCGATCGTCTTCGCCGTGATGACGCTCGGGCGGGGGTCAGCGCGGCGGTGCTTCTCAATCTGGCATGCAGAAATAGCGAAGCCGATCGTTTTGGATGCTGTGGATTTGCCGACCATGGTCTTTCCGATCCACATGGTCCCATGGACGTCGTGGCTCCCAAGGATGGGGACGACGATGCGGTCGAACAGGGGCGGGTCAAACCGCTTGAGAGTGACCGCCCAGCGCTCGACTGTCCTCGCGCCGGCAGTGCCCGACGCGTAGTTGCGGAGCGACTCCTTGACGTCTGATGCCATCCATCCGAAAATCGGAGAGTTCTCATCGTGAATCATCTCGTCGGTCCGCTCCACGAATTGGTTTTTGTTGTTGGCCCTCGGGCCGTACTTCTCGATGTAACGGCAACCCGCCTGCCGCTTGCCCTTGTCATATACATCGGCCCCTGCGGCTGCGGCGGCGGCCGCGGACGGCTGGGCCCAATGGCGGATCTGCACTCCGCCCAACCTGTCCATCATATAGTGGAAGAGCTTCAGCGGCGCCATCTTGTCGGGCGAGTTTCCCCAGTGGGTAGTCAGCGCCGTGCCAGAGAGAAAGACCTCCTTCGCGATGTCCGTCCGCGTGACCTTCTCGAACTTGATGTATTCCAAAGCGAACTGTCGACCGTCGTCTTCCTTCGGCAAGGTGTAGAGCTGCATTGCGAATGCGATCTCGCCGGGGTCCTTGCTCGGTCTGAACGGGGCTGGCAGCGCCACGTAATTGCCGCCGCACATGGCGTCGTAGACCTCAACAGTATCCAATTGCTGCGCAGCCCCTTCCTCCAGCGCCACCCAGTCGACCAAATGCTTGATATTCACGACGTTGTCAGTGCACTGGAGGGGCATGTCGCGGAGGCGAAGCGCCGCGGGGGGATCCGACTGGGAACGCCCTGGTTTGGTGGGGCGCGTGTAGGGCTGCGCGACCGCCATGTGCAGCCGCGTGTTCTTGATCTGGTCAGTCGCGGACTCGTCGCCGCCGATGATCAGGCAGCGACGGCATTGAGCTCAGCATCTCCAGACACGGGGGAAATTGTTTAATATCCCCCTGTATTGACAGGGGGGGGGGGGGCCTTTTCACCGCAGACGACGACGACGAAGACGCCCCCATGCGGAGGGGGAGGGGGCAGGGGGAGGAAGAGGGGCAGGAGGAGGAAGATAATGATGGTGAGGAGGACGCCCCCCATCCCCCCACTCCGTCGTTTGGGGGTGCTGGGGCGGGGGGCGAGCTAGATGGGCGATATATATATATATATATATATATATATATACACATATATGCACATATACATACGTACATACATGCCTATATATATATACATGTATGTACGTATGTATGTATATATATACACATGTATATACGTGTGTATATATATACAGTTATATCTATATATATGAATATATTAAACACTTTAAGATGTAAAATCGGCCCTCGGGCGCCCGGAAGCGCCGCGCGCGGGGCGCCCGGGCCGGGCGGCGCCGTCGCGTTTCATTGCAGATCCGATCTGGGCTGGCCGCGCCGGCGCGTTCCACGCGCTCGGGCCGGGCCGCGCTGGCGCGCTTTGCAAATCCGGGCCCGGCCGAACCAGCGCGCGTTACACATCCGGGCCCGGCCGCGTCGGCGCGCGCAAATATGGGCCCGGCCGCGCCGGCGCGTCTTGCGAATCCGGGCCCAGGCCGCGCCGGCGCGCGCACATGCGGGCCGGCCGCGCTGGCTCTCGCGGGCCCCAAGCCCGCCGGAGGCCCACCTGGCCGGCCGCTGGCGGGCCCGCGGGCGGGTCGCGGCGCGCCCCCCGGAGGGCCCGGGCGGCCCCCGATGGCGGGCCCGGTGGGCGCCCCGAAATTGCTCTCTGAATCGGCGAAATAATTCCCCCGATCCAGAACAAGGCATCATATTCACCAATCTTTGCAACGCGCCGGCCTGGCGGGCGGGGCCCCGCCACTTGCTCGGCCCCGATCAAAAGCGGCGGCCGGCAGGCCGCGCCGCGCGCGATAGAGTCCGCGGGCCGCCCTGTAGACTACCAGAAGACGCCGGCACTGCAGCCCTGCAGACGCGGCCCCCAACACTGCGCGCTGGATTCGAGCAGCAGGGCCCCGCGCCTTTGAACCTCAAGCAATGCGGCGCAGAGCAACGCGCCCGGGGTGGCCGCGGCAACGATGGCTTCCATGCGACGCATTCGCAGCGCGCGTTTTGATACACCCGCATATGGTCGATGTTGGGAAACACTTCCCATTTGAAACTATGGCTGGCTGCTGTCTAAGGACTGGCTACTGTGACTGTCTACGGTTGCTCGTTGCTGTCTCAGGACTCGCTGCCGTGGCCCCCGCCTTAGGGGACGCGCGAAACACGCGTTGCAGGTAAGAGAAATATACCTCTTGAAAGGGCGCGATCGAAGACAGCGAGGGCGGGCGTCGAAGGTTCGGGGCGCACGCGAAGAATGGCCCGCGAGCGGATAAGAACGAACAATCTTGACATTATTGTTTATGTTGTTGTGTTTGCTGTAATGTAGGACACCCATCCCCCCGCCAAAAAATGGGGCTGCTCCTCCCGGGTCACCATTGGTGTTTTTCTATTTTGTTATTCTTATATATATATATATATACAAACCAAAAACAGTTTTTTAAAAAAAGGGTCCGCGCTCGCCTGGTTTACAACGACAACGACAGCAGCTCCCACCTGATGCACCCCGCCCAAACTGCACTTCCAACTCGCACTCTCGCCCGGGACGCCCTCGCAATCAATCCCAGAATCGCGCTCTCGCGTCTTCCCCTAGACCCTTAGACTCAGGAACGACGCTCTCGCCTTGGATTTCATCGCGATTCACGTTGAACCGCGCCGTCGTTCGAATCTCCCTGCGCGATGGGTTGACGCTGTAATCCCCCGCCCGCTTGCCCCGCGCGGCCTTCCCGTTGGGGCCTGCCCGCCCGACGCGCCAGTCTGGTTCTGCCGCTTGCGTTCCTGCCCGTAACCCGCGCCCTGCAAATTCCTCGCGCGCCCCAACCTTCTCTATCCCCAATGTCGCTTCGCCCCCCTGCCCCCCCTGTTCCAGGGGCCGCGCCAGCGGCTTGCGGCGGGCAGGGGTGATCTGCCCCCAAGAGTGAGCGCGATCCAACGCGACATGGGCTGCTACCGAGGGTTGGGAATACGCGCGTTTAGCGGCGCACGAGCAAGTGAAATCGACCAATATTAAGCTTGCTCTTGTTGTTGCTGTTGTCCATGTTGATGTAATTGGCGCCGTTGTTGGCGGCGTTGTTGTTGTCGCTGTTGCTCGGGAACTCTCGCCACTGAAGAATTGAAGCGGTTCCCCCCCCTCCGGGGCGCGTCGCGCTTCTGAATGGAAGCGCGCGCCCCTGCGCTCGGTGCCCCGTCATGCGTAAACATATATAATGATAACAATATCAAGTATTATAATAATAAAAATAATGTTGATAAATTTTTCCAACTAAAAAAGCGGGAAGGGCGGGGGTCACCAAACTGAGCACTTGGCCCCCGAGTTGCAGCAACAACTGCTCCTGCTTGAAAGTTCATGAGTTACGATAGTTCATACGTTATAAAACAATCGTAGTTTCGCGCGGGACTTCCTCGCGGGCGATTTGGGAATCGCGCTCTCGCGCGAGACTTCCTCGCAAATGATGTAAACGCCGCGCCCTCGACACTTCGAGAAACGCGCTCTCGCCGCGGACCCCCGGGCGACGCATTCGGGAATCGCGTTGTCGCCCGAGACATCTTCGCGATTCATGCAGGGCGCACGCTTCAACGGCCCGCCTGCGCGACCTGGCCGCCTGCCTTCCCAATCCGCCCGTTAGGATCTACCAGCCCGATCCGCCCGTCCGTTTCTGCCGCGTGCTTCGTGACCCTGGCCGCCGCCCTGCCGCCCCCCCCCTCTCTCTCTCTCTCTCTCTCTCTCTCTCCCTCTCTCTCTCTCTCTCTCTCTCTCTCTTGTTCTCTCTCCTCTCTCTCCTTTCTCTATCTCTCTCTCTCTCTCTCTCTCTCTCTCTTCTCTCTCTCTCTCTCTCTCTCTCTCTCTCTCTCTCTCTCTCTCTCTCTCTCTCTCTCTCTCTCTCTCTCTCCTCTCTTCCTCATTCTCTTTCCCTTTCCTTTTCCCTTTCCTTTCTCTTTCTCTTTCTCATTCTCTTTCTCCTTCTCCTTCTCCTTCTCTTCCTCTTTCTCTTTCTCATTATCTGCCTATGTTTTTTTTTTTTTTTTTTTTTTTTTTTTGTTCTCTCTCTTCTCTCTCTCTCTCCTCTCTCTCTCTCGCTCTCTCTCTCTATATATATATGAACTTTTTTGTTCTCTCTCTCTCTCTCTCTCTTTATTTTTTTTCTCTCTCATCTCTCTCTCTCTCTCTCTCTCTTTCCCTTTCTCATTCTCTGTCTATTTATCTTTATTGGTTCGTTATCTTTCTCTTTCTCTTTCTCTTTCTCTTTCTCTGTCTCTTTCTCTTTCTCTTCATCTGTCTTTTTTTTGTTCTCTCTCTCTCTCTCTCTCTCTCTCTCTATATATTAATATATCCATCCCTCCCTCCCACCCTCTCTCATCTCTCTGTTTTCCCTCTCTCTCTCTTCCTCTCTCTCTCCTCTCTCCTCTCTCCCCCTTCCCCTCTCTCTCTTCTCCTCTTCTCTCTCTCTCTCATCTCTCTCTCTCTCTCTCTCTCCTCTCTCTCCTCTTGTTTCTCTCTCTGTCTCTCTTTCTTTTTTTTTCTCTCCCCCTCTCTCGTCTCTCTCTCTCTCTCCTCTCTCTCTCTCTCTCTTTATCTATTTCTTCTCTCTCCTCTATTCTCCCTCTTTTTTTTTGTCCTCTCTCTCTCCTCTCTCTCTCTCTCTCTCTCGTCTCTCTCTCTCTCTTCTCTCTCTCTCTCTCTCTCTCTCTCTCTCTCTCTCTCTCTCTCTCTCTTCTCTCTCTTCTCTCTTCTCTCTCCCTCTCATCTCTCATCCTCTCCTCTCTCTCTCTCTCTCTCTCTCTCTCTCTCTCTCATCTCTCTCTCTCTCTCTCTCTCGCTCTCTCTCGCGCGCGCGCGGCGCCCCCCCCCCCCCCCTGCCCTTGCCCCCCCCCCCCCGCTCCTGCCGCAGAGGCCGCGCGAAATCGCGCGGCGGGCGGGGGGGGGTATCCCCCGATGGGGGGGCGATCGCAGACGAAAGAGTGCGGCGACGAGGGCCTGGGATACACGCGCTGAATGGCACGCGATTGCGCATAAACATATATGTAATAGATATATTATATATATATATATTATATATATATATATAGAAGCCAACACTATTAAAACGCAGGTCGTGGCTGGCGTCGTTGCAATTATTGTTGGATTCACGCAGCGGGAGAAATATTGTACCCCCCCCCTCCGGTGACCACGCTGTTTTGTCAATTTATGTGCCCCCCGCTCGCGCCTTCTAAATTATCCCGGAAAGTCACTGGGCTCAGACTGCGCCCCTAGCCCCCAGGTTGCACCCACAATGGCTCCCGCGTGAGACTTCCTCTCAAT